GTGAGTCTTTCATAAGCAGTGCTGGGTCTTGTTTTCAGTTCATTCAGCCCATCTGTGTCTTTTGATTGGAGAATTCCATTCATTTACATTTGGAGTGATTTCTGTTAGATGTGGACTTCCTGTCGCCGTTGTGTGAGTTTCTGGTGGTTTTAGTGTTCCTCTTCTAGGGTCGGGGCTGAGAACAGGCAGAAGTAGCCCGCTGTTTTGCTCCATCCACTCCGGCCCCGTCTCTGTGTGGACAGAGGAAAGTCGTGGGTGAGGAAATGGCTCTGGCAGATCAGAACCCGCAGAGAGAGGCCCTCTCTGGGTCCCACCAGCAACCCGGCCCCGGGGTCCTGCCCCAGCCTCTCCTGCACCAGTTCTGTTCTTCGAGGACCACCGAGATGACCTGACGCAGACAGACAGACAGTGGGATGGGTTAGGGAGACAGCCCACACCTCTGGTCGGAATAAAGGAGAACTACAGGGGCTTCGGAGGATGGGCGATCATGCCTGCTCACTGGGCAGAGGTCCGACTTGACGTAAACGGGAGAGGATGTCATAACCCTGGAGCCCACAGCGAAAGGCTGTCTTATATTTTTCCTGATGAATGAGTGAAGAGGAAACAGGCCTTACTGTCAGCTGAATGCCCAGCAGCTCAACCTGTTTGTGGTTAAACAGCGGTGGGGCTGTGGATCTCTGTCGGCCGTAAACCTGCAGCCGCTGATGAAAGGTGTCAGTGGTGCAGTTTGTTTAGCAGGTCCCGAGGCGGGTGTAGCACCAAGCTCACACCTTTCGTTACAGGACAAGACAGCCAGGTGAGTGTCAGGCCTGGGGCCTGTGTCCAGGTTGGGGAGCCATCTGGGGACCCGTGCAGTGCATGATCTGCTGTCTTTCGGCACTTCTGAAAGCTCTTACTTCTGTCACTGTGTATGTGGGAACTCAGTTGTGAGTTGATGAAACTTGAATTTTCTTAGCTCAGATCAGATGGCACTGCTGGTGTAGGCCTGCTCTCCAGACAAAACAAGACTGCATTCAGCTCGAATCCAAGCTGAATGAAGCTCTCCTCTGTGCTGCAGAAGCGGCTGGCCTGGTTGTGCCGGCTCGGAGTGCGGAAGGGTTCCAGGGGCCGAGCCCTGCACCTGCGCTCACGACAGCCTCCACCCAGGAGGGCGTCCGTCGTCCGCAGCCTGAGAGCCACCGTGCGCGGCAGACCAGACTCGGCCTCCTCGTTCCGGAGGCCACCGCGTCCCGGAGGCTTCCTGTGAAAAGTGTTGCCCGCGGTCCATTAGGTCCCATTGTGACACAGATACTGACGTAGAGCCCTAGTTTTAATGAGAAAGAGCACCCGGGACTTGTGGGTATGTTACAAATGAATTTCAAAACTCCCAACCCGCCAGCTAAAAATCTCAAGTTTGTTATAACGGGTGCTGTCCCTTGAACAGCATTTGCCTGTGAGCTGGTGGAAAGCCTGTCTCCACCCTCCATGCCCTCCTGAGCCGTGGGTCCTGGCCCAGGCACTGCTCTGCCTTGCAGGGTGTGACACCAGTGCCTTGGGGGACCCGGGTCCAGTTACTGTGACAGCCATGTGGGGCCCGGCGCCAGTGGTCGCCCCACCCCTGGGGTCACCTTCACAGAAGGGCCACAAGGTGCCCCCCTCCCCCCGTGGGGGACAGGACTCAGCTGACTTCTAGTCTTGTCCTGGCTGAAGGTAAGGGTGGGTCCCGAGGGTTACTGTTCCCTCTGCCGTGACGGCTTCGTGTTCCAAGTGAGCTCATGAGCCCCAGGCCGCCTGCCTCCCAGGCCAGGTGGAGCGCGTGTCCTGAGGTGCTGGTCACACCCGAGAGCTGCCAGCGCTGAGGCTCCTTCGCTGGGGTCCCCATCGCTGTTTGTGGGACCGAGCACAGCCTGCGACCTGCCACTGCGCATCCTCGGGGACCAGCCTCCTTTCATGGCTTGTTGCTTGGTTGGCGAGATGGAAGCTGTTTATCTAGGTTGCACACTTGCGGTGAGGATTATACTTTACACTTAATTTTCCAGGGAGTGGAAAGACTTATTACATTAAGATTACCTTAGTTTAAAACTTAGGTTTCAATTCTTTTTTCAAAAAATTTTACCATCAAACGTTACATAAAGCATACATTTGGAGACAAAAGAATACAAAATAACACATTGTAAATCGACTATACTTCAGTTTAAAAAAAGACAGATTATTGCATGTCAGAGTTGTTTCAGAAAAGTAAAAATTTTTCTGTCATTCCTGTGTCTTTCGAGGGCGGTTTCTGTAATTCCGGCTGTCACGGCCGCGCCACTGTGAGTGTGCCGCGGTCGGCTTGTGCGTCCGCGCGCGGACACCCCGCCGACCAGCCGGATGAGCGGAGCAGGGCCCTCCCGGCCGTCCGCCCGGCTCCGGCACTGGTGCCCCTGCCCGTGTGTGTCACAGACGTGAGTCCGGCAGCAGTGAGCTGGCAGGACAGCTGGCTGTTGGGGTGGGAGCTCCTGAGGCCTCCGTCTTGGGCTCGTGGATGGCCGCCTTCCTGCCGGGCCCCCGCGCACGCGGGCCCGGCGTCTTCCTCTTCTGAGGAGGGACCCCCCCCCACCGTGAAGGCCGCGTCTGCGACGGCGGCCCGGCCCCGACGGGCGGGACGGGGTCGGTTCGGGGGTACGGGACGGCCGGTTCCCGACGGTCGGCGGTAGTTTCGTCCGTAGGAA